AAATAATAACTGATCATTCTCAGATCTAGAGTTATACCCATAATAATTAACAACAATAAGATTCAAATTATAACACTTCAGAATTAACAAAATAAAGTGCCCATATTCATCACAGTATGTGTGCAACACATCCCCTGCAAAATTATTTTTTAAACAGGAAACCCCTGCAGAGTGCTCCGAACCATGAGAGAACCATATCTCACTACCCCACTGCGATTTCCAAAAATTACCATCATTATCTTTAGAATGAGACTCTTGAAAAAATACGAAGTCAGAACCAAACTGTCTAGAAAACAAAAATAAGGCCTTGCGTTTAACAACATCTCTTAAACCCCTGGCATTTAAGGACACAACAGAGAAAGACATTTAAAGAACTCACAAACACTGAAACAGTTAACCTGCTTTAAGTTCTATGAACTCAATTTTGTCCCCTATCTTTTTGAAAATAGGTTGCAAAATCAAAAAATGCTGAAAAAAGCAGCACCATATTGAATATCAAAAAACTGCATAATGGTCACCCTGGGACGCTTCGTGCCATCTTGTTGCAACTTCCCGAGACGATGGACCACGTCAATAACATCCGAGAGTTTGTCCTTTGCACTAGGAAGAACATTTTGGCAGATTTTGACCACCTCAAGCCAAATGTCTTCATGCGCAGATTCAGGAATCCCGGCTATCCTCAAATTACGTCTTCCCAAATATGTTTCCATATCATCCATCCTCCGCTGCATTTGAGCCACAGGCCATTCAACAGCATCCATACGCCACTCAAGACTAGTAACCTTCTCAACAACGGCCTTCAGTTCAGCTGACATGTCCTAGATCTTTTTCTCTATTCCGTCTGAGTGACTGTTGATCAGCTGTGTTATGTCTGATAGTTGCGTCGAGATATCAGCTCGAGTGTCGTCACTTGCTCTTTTCTTTATGACTGGCGATTTACTCGGGGTGATAGGCAATGCAGGGAATTCCTCTTCAGCTAAACTGAACGTATCTTCCTCGCTCGCGCAAGAAACAACGTAATCATGGCCACTGCTGGCTGGTGAGCACGCGTTAAAACTAACGCTAGCCACCTTAGCATCAGCCGAAGAGTTGTTCGAATGACCACGTTTACGCCCCATGGCAACGCAATATAGGGGAAAACTTCAAGTCAAAGACGTAACAAAATAACACACGCAGCATACGATTAATAAAAAGTTATTTTTGCACTGTCTAAACACAGATGGTGCAGGAGCTCGTAAAAACACGTCTGATCAGGTAGCCATCTTGGACTCCCCCCCGGTCTGGTTACTGGTATAGGGCAATAGAATGGGAATGTGTCGTCACAGCGCCAATGCATTCTGGGAATTTAGGTCACGGGAGCCACAGCGGAGACTGGATAATATAGTGAATGTAGACGTTTGACATTATTTCATGTTTATATTATTCTACTTAAGATCGTGTTGGAGTGGTTAAGGCTCACTTTACATCATTTGCCATAGCCCTTTGCACGGCCGGTGTGAAAAACGTGATTTTTTTCAGCGTTAGAAAGCTGAAAAAGCAGAGGTATGCCATAGCCCTTATCAATGTCTGCATTAAATAGGGTAAACGTACCTATTAAGCTCATGTACCCATTAAGCACACTTCCATATTTGAGCTCAGATTATAAAAAGAAAAAATCATGTATTATCCTACTTGATGTCTTAACTAATTGATGTGTTTGTTACTACATACCTCCTGTAATTTCAAGTCAATCAGATCATTGCACACTGAGATATGGGTCTCCATGTGTTCACACTGTCTGGTGGCCATTTTGAAAGCTGTCTGAAAACTTTCACCAAAAGAGGCGCTTGCATCGTTGTTCGGCATCTCTAATAGTAAGAATCTTCATCTTGGTTCATTCAAGTCAAGGTATTTATTTGCATAGCATCCACAATACACATCGTTTCAAAGAAGCTTCTAGTAAGTTCTGTTACCTCTATAATGGCTTAATTCTTTACACTGAGCAGTTTTACTGGGCAATATGACGATATATAACAATGATAAATGATCCACTGTTTGAGATCTAGCTATGTATTCTCCCTTTTAAAAAATAGCCATGGTTTTGCTACTCTAACCAAAGTTTTAGCAGTTAGCCTATATCAGTACCACTGTAGTGAAGGAGACTGAATAATGAATATTTGCAGCCTCTCAGACAAACCACAGAGCGATTTTTTTTTTAAAGAGATTTACTGTACATATTAGTCCGTTTTATTCTAAGAGTATGTAAGATGGTTTTCAAAAAATATTAATAGTAAACGGTCGGCTTTTTCTGTGGTGATTTGTGTGTGTTTACACTGTGTGCTCCTGAGCGTTACCTAAAACATGGCGGAATCCAACGCGGCGTGACGTAGATTCCCATTCTTTATAGCCAAGCCGTTAAAATGAGACCACAGATTGCCTCGATTTCGCCAGGTGGGCTAAAAGCAGACTACACGTAACCCGTCCAATTTAGAGCTAAATCGTGGCTACATATAGGCCATGTCATGAAATGACACTTAAATCTTTGTAGATATTATTGACACTGCGAACGTGATGGGATATCAACCATCTCATGCGCTGCCTGGTCAAAAACTACAGTGAATCAGGTTTGACTATAAGTGGGCTACAGATAGCCGCTCTGACTACGAGCTAAATCGTGGCTACGCACAGGCTACGTATTGAACATGTCAAAGAAATGAAACCAAACACCTTGTAAACGCTGTTGACTTTGCTTACATGATGGAATATCATACATCTCACAAGTTATTTTGCCAAAAAACAACATGAAACCAAATTCAAGGTTATTTGGGCTAGAAGTGGGTTACACATAGCCGGACTATATCGCGTCTATAGTTAACCGAGACGTTGAAATGACGGCTATTGCTTGCTGGGGAAGATTATTTTGCTTAATTTGTACTTAAGTACAAGTAAAAGTACAGCTTTAAAAATACACTCAAAAAAGTACAAGTACCCGAAAAAACTACTTAATTACAGTAACGTGAGTAGTTGTAATTCGTTACCTCCATCACAGATGCTTTTAAGAGTTTCGAATTGCAATTGCTGAAACATGAAATGTACACTAGCCTACTGTGGCGATCACTGTGCTTTATCGCCCTCCTAAAGCCCACAAAGACTTTCTTTTTTCTTTTTCTTTTTTTTTCAAACAAATACAGAACAAAAGGATACATTCTAAAGAATAACCTATACACATAACAGACATAGACATACAGCGGTCACCAAATATAACTTATACTACATTCATGAGTATTCAGATTTTGATCAGATTCTGCCATACAAAGTTATGTTAAGGGTTACACATCTGACACAGTTTATGGATTAAGAGTCAAAATGGTCTAAGGATCCCTTTTTGGGGGGGAGGGTGCTTCAAACTCATATAAATGGCAAAACAGAGAGAGAGAGGGAAGGGGGAAAAAAACACATAGGTCATCTATTAAATGTTTTCTTTTCTTTTCAACCACCTCCCCCAGTATGATGAGATTTTGGTAGATTGTTGTCTTAAGGAAAGGGTCAGCACTTCCATACTGTAGACATCATGTACAATTTCTTGCCATTCACATACAGATGGGGGATCTTCCTTTAAGGGTTGCCTGCTCTTTGGACTTGGATTTATGCTATGAAATTATAGTATCCTCCAGTGCTGAAGGACACCTTTGATTTCATTCAATGGCTGAACCTAGAATGCAATCTCTGAAAAATCTTCTGATGTAGAAAGATGTCATTGTGGCGTGATGGAGCATTTTTCAGTGTAATTGTTCATGATTGATCATTATTGATTTAGAAAATGGTAAATCTAGATTTACAAGGTGTCATAAAAGGGATGTTGATGTTTTTTTTTTTCTATTTATTTCCTGAGTGCAGTATGTGCAATTTTTCTTACAGTGTTAAATTGTTGATTTGATAGCATGCCTAAAAAATAATGACTTGAAGTAACATTGTTTTAAACAAATAAATGCCCTATTGTTGTGCTAACAATCTGTTTTCTGTCTTTGTATTAACAACTTTAAGTTTTGAGTACAGCTTACTTGAGAAATTTAAGGCAATCAGTTTCCACACATTTTTCTAGTAATGTGAACAAAGCAGACTTGTTAAGAGAACTGTTTTGTTTGAGTTCTGTGCACTAAGCTTAACTTAAATCTCTAAGTTGGCTGAACTTGTCAAATTGAGTTACCAACACTCAAGTTTTTCTGGTAACCTATACATATACACAAGTTACCTATACAAAGTTACAGTAAGTTTTATTAACTCAAAAATGATAAACTAATTTGCTTGAGAAATTTGAGGCAATCAGTTTCCACAGGTTTTTCCAAGTAAGTTCAACTCATTACTTTTTACAGTGATATGAACTTTTTTTGTCTCAGAAATGTATTAAATAATACAAATAATTTTTGATAAATTCTTTTTCTTTCTTTTCGTTTCTTTCTTTCTTTTCCCAAATGACCTGGTCTTGTTGCAGTAAGAACTTACCCTGGGTCTTTTTTATTCGGTTCATTCTGGAGCCAGCTAAACCACCAGTCATGATCAACACATCAACACAAAATTTCATCCTTAAGGATTCTAGAGGTGCAGCAGTCAAAACCCAAACCCCCCTAACTGTCCCCAAAGGCCATCCAAGCTATATGGCACATCTTTGATTAGCTGCTTGGATCTTGAATGATCCTGGGAGATTTAGCATATGTCGAAACAACTCATGTAGCGTTTACAGGCAGATCATCCCGGGCTCATTCACTCAGCATCAGCTCTATTTAGCTTCTGAGTAAATACCGCACATGAATGAGGCCTCGCTGGCCATCTTATGCATCTGCTTCAGCAGGCCTCTGGAGGCAAACTTGTCTGACAGTGATCCCCATGCACATGTGTGAGAAGCCGTGTTCAGTTACCAAGTTTATTTTTAGCCCGTTAACGGCCTCAATCCAACTCTGGGGAATGCCATAAGGGCACAAGACTTTTCCTCCTTCTCCTCCCGTCCCAGTCACTCTCTCTCTCTCTCTCTCTCCTCTGAGAGGAGCTAACAACTTCTCCTTCATTCTTCCTCAACGGATTGGAGCAATGAACGATAGTCCCTTGCAAGTGCTAACTTTGCCTACTTCTCCGTACCCCGACCAGAGGCCTGGAACCAACGGCCTGAAGAAGAAGACCCATGTTTTCCAGTCTATAAAGAACTTCCTGCACAACTTCATTCAATGCATCTTCTCCTCCATTGACCTGCGGGACAGGCAGGGCTCCACCATGGTGGTGGGTGGAGATGGACGCTACTTCAATTCGACTGCCATTCAGGTCATAGTGCAGATGGCTGCTGCTAACGGGGTCAGTTGCGATTCTACAGTATGTTTTCTTATGATGAACCACTACACTAAAAATAAAATTGGTGTAGAAACAATTTTCACTTAGAAATTAGTCAATTTCACAAATAATTACAATTGGTAAGTAACACATTGAATTGAATTTGGAATTTTGAAGTAGAAAGAATAAAATTGTATTTTCTTGTAAAACAAACTCCAATTATCTTTAAAAAAAAACGTACAAATAATTTTTTTACGCTGTACATGCTTCTGAATCTCACGCATAGCATCACTACACGCACCTGTCATTCAAATGCATCATTACACCTGCACTGTATCTTTTGTGGTAAATTGTACTGTATTATCTTATATTTTGATGGCGAAAAATAGGGAAAAAGCTCTAATCACTTTCCAGTTCTAAATTTGCCACGAAAGATATTTATTCTTGACACAATTGTTAGAAACATATGTTTAGGGCACATTACAAGCAATTGGTGACACAGTCTTTAATAGATTTCTAATTTTGCCAATTAGATCTGGCACAGGCAGAAGGAACATGTTGAGTTATTATTGTCGATCTGGTGAAGACTATTGCTGCTCTGCCCTTTTTAGAGCAGATACACGAGTTGTGCTCAGCTTTGGCCTCCATTCTGGTATTAATTGCAATCGAAAGTCTCGATATACCTTGTTTTTAATGAAAGAGTTCATTATAACCTTCTATAATTTTCAGTTGAAATTTATGGAAACGCTTCATTTCGATAGTCCACTTTATGCATTGTATTAACTTTGCAAATATGTCAACTAACTCTCATTAATTTTCAACAATATGTCTATAACTATCTCACATTATAGTGTATTAGTAGACTGTTAGGTTAGGGTTAAGATTACTAGAATAAGTTGACATGTACTTGCAGAGTTACTTATAGTTAGTAGAATGTGTGTTGGGGAACCATCAAAATAAAGTGTTAGCAGATATTAAGCAGACATTATACTAATACTCTAATGACATACAGTAGGTGCAAAGTTACAGTAGAGTCAGCAGAATGTCTAAAGTGGACTATCAAAATAAAGTGTTACCAAATTGCATTATCTACATCATTTCTTAAAATGATGACCAGTTACATAAGATGGGCTGATGAATTTCTTAGGTGGGTCGTGTTGTGATCGGTCAGAAAGGCATCATGTCGACGCCGGCTGTGTCGTGTGTGATCAGGAAGATCAAAGCTATTGGTGGCATTATTCTTACAGCCAGCCACAACCCTGGAGGACCTGACGGAGACTTCGGCATCAAATTCAATACTGCCAATGGAGGTACAATGGCTTACATGTAATTATGAAGATGAAGGAACGTTGTCCGTGTAATACTTCACCCAAAAATCAAAGAAAGATATAAGATATGTATATAAATTAAGCATATGTTATGATCATAAAGAGTTATATCCTAGTGGCTTTGTGTTCATGGCAGTTTATCTCGATTCCACTCAAATTCCTATTACTGTTCTATTATACTATATGACATTTTACTTTAGAGTTGATTTGTATATCTCTGTATGGTTTGATTTTCATTAGATTCTCATTACTGTAATACAGTACATTTGATTTAATGCATTTTTAACCAAAAGTAAAATAATATTATTACGGCATTAAAAAGCCCATATTGATTAACTACTAAATTTCAACCACAGTATATTTTACTATATTTATAATACATTTACAATATATATATATATATATATATATATATATATATATACACACTCAGACAAACAGACATTATCATTCAAAAGTTTGGAGTGAAATTAAAGATTTTTTAACATTTATTAAGCAATAATTTAATCAATTTAATACATTGATTTCAAATAAATGCTGTTCTTTTGAACTTTCTAAAATCCTGGGAAAAAATGAAAATGATTTCGACAAAGACAGCCCAATGTTTTCAACACTGATAATAATAAGAAAGATTTTTAAGTAACAAATCAGCATATTAGAATGATTTCTGAAGGATCATGTGATACTGAAGACTGGAGCAATGATGCTGAAAATTCAGCTTTGACATCATAAAAATAGAAGATAGTTATGCTAAATTATAATAATTTTTAACACAATATTATTGTCTTTCTGTATTTTCAAATTTTTTAATTATAGTGTGTGTGTGTGTGTGTGTGTGAATACAATACACACAATTTAAAATAACTGCATACAATGTTTGGTTTTACTGTAATAAATATATGGAATGAAATGTGCTCAATTTACATGAAGAAGGCACTATGCAAAAAAAATGAATAAATAAATAATTATGTCATAATAAATATAAATGTAATGATGTAAGCTTCATTTGCTTCAAGCAAATTATTTATTTATTTATTTTATTTTGGGGTAAAATGTAAACCCTCTTGACAGATCAAATAACATAAGGTAGACCCCAGGCTTACAACATCTACTTTAATTATACTTTTTTGTTTGAGTTATTGATCATTCCTCCATACAGGTCCAGCACCAGAGGCTGTCACAAATCAAATCTTCCAATTGAGCAGAACCATAGAGGAGTTTGCCATCTGTCCTGAACTCAGAGTCGATCTGGGGACTATCGGCAAGCAGTCCTTCGACCTGGAGAACAAATTTAAACCTTTTACAGGTGAAAACATTCGCAACGTCTGAGCTGTGATTCAAAAGAATGGCATCTTTTAATGAGAAATGAATCGAATGGATGCATGTCCTGTCGATATTCTGTCATGCAGTGGAAATTGTGGATCCAGTTGAATCCTATGCCAACTCACTGAGGAATATCTTCGATTTCGCTGTTCTAAAGGAGCTTCTGTCAGCAGACAACCACATACAAATCCGTTTAGATGCCATGCATGGAGGTGAGGAACCATATTTCTTTCCACTGATATAGAAGCAGACTGATATAGCCATTGAGTTTCCTCCACAGCCAAAGCTTCATCAAGTCCATTTCCCACATTTTGAAAAGAGTATTTAGAGTAGTAGCTGCATCTACTTAATGGAATGAGATGCTTCCATGTGTGCCAGTTGGATGGGGATGAGTTTAGGCTTGTGTTGCTGCTCGCTTGAGTTTCCATATATGTGCAGTGATCTGAATGATTAAGACGAGCTATCTGACATAACATTAAATCCAAGCACGGCTCTCAGCTTTCAAGGAGTAACACCATCCCACATTGATGAGCCCCTTAAAATGAAAGGAATCTTCTGCATTCATGCATGTTATTTGAGCTGTGAAGTTGTGGGTAGAGCTTGCTTCTTTGAAGGGATGCTTGCACTAATGCAAAAGATTTAGGTTTACATGGTTGTTAAAGGTATAGTTCGTCCAAAAATTAAAATTCTGTCATCACTTATCTTCATCTATATTTTTTGAAATCTCTCTCTCTCTCTGTTCAATTAAATGTTTAAAATGTTTTCACCCCAACACTGGGGTGCACTCTGCACTGATGTTTATGACTAACTAAAATATAATTTTAATGTAATTTCTGTTTAAACATGTATTTAAATATATTATTATAATTACTAATATACAGTACTACTAATATTTTAAATTAAATATATAAACATTATTTTTAATGATGTAGTAGTAGAAATTTAGTTTGTTTAAAAATATTAACTTTAAATGTATTTTTATAAGTATAGTTAAAAATATATGTAATTTACTTGTAATTTGTTTTCACCGAGTGAACATGTTCAGTCAGCGTTATGTCTGTTGGGGCAGTGTGAACATGACAGTTGTTTTTCATAAAATTCGAAATTCTTCAGCTGCTTTGTTGGTGTTTGTCGGTGCGGTGTGAATTGGCCTTATGGTAATGGCTGGAATGTGATGGATTCAGTACAGTTTAACCTTTTTAACTGAAACCAGAACATTCCTTCAATGGAATTTTTACAGTCCAGTATTTCTTACCCATGTCTGCAGGGTTTATAATTGAGAGTTTTATAGAAATTGGCTTAGTTTATTCAAACTGAATCTATGAAAATGGTCTAGTAGATAATGGAAGGATAGCTCTCAATACAAATCATCATCCAGTTTGGGGCCAGATTTACTAAACAGGGCATATTAGCATGAGATCGCAATTCCATAAAAGTGCCGATAGGAGTATAAAGTTCTGTGTGTGATCTACTGACAGTGCACAAATGAAAGAACACAGACGCATCCAGATAATTTCCATAATGACCAATGCAATCTACCAAGAGCAGAGAAAATTAGCAACTATCACAGCCATTTCAAGCACAAGAATGGGTTAAGACATGATTTTTTTGGGCGTTAAATGATGGCGCAAATCTTGGTAAATCACCTTACGTGATTTATTTAAATACTCTCCTCCCGTAAATTTTGTGTCTGAAAGGGAAACTCCTACAAATGCAAAAATAACTGCATATCCATCACTAACAGTCTTTAGTAAATCCTGACAGTAGTTTTTCTAACACCAATAGAGGGTTTGCCCTGGCTCAAGTTATTAGTAATTCTGGCCCTTGGTCTTCTATCTCATTAAAAGTGCTGTATGTATTTTTTTGACTTTGCTAAAAAATAAAAAATATAATATGTATGCAGATACTGTATTTAGGAAACATGGTAAGTTTACATACTTGTTTCTCCAAAAAAACAACACTACAACCAATTATTGTACTTTGAAATGTGCGCTCTGTGTCGCAATGTCTGTATTTGTTTTTGGTCTGTGTGATTCCGCTTACTGCCAACATACCCAATAGTATATCGACACCCCGGGTTGCCAGTTGACGGGAAACACAGCAATTGCAACCACTGAACCCAGCAAAGGTCAGAGATCACAGATTTTGCTTGACCTAAAAAGCCTCAGCATCCATCTAAAAAGCTCTATGAGCAGAGGCATATTAAAAAGTGGATAAATCAACTCTACAACTTACAGTGTAAGGCTTGTTGCCTGTCTGTTGTCAGTTGCGCTCGTTCCTGTTGCGTGTCCTCAATCTGGCAACCCGCGCGAGCGTCCAGTCTTAGGAGGAGGTGGCAGGAGAAACAACTCTCTCCAATATTTTGAATTTGGACTGCAGTGCCCATCTCAACCGCTAGCTGTCAATATTACATACTGCACATTTAAAAGCACCGACTCTTTGAACTCTTGTTGTTGAACCTCCATTGGTTGTACAGTGACTGGGCCGTATGTGAAGAAGATCCTGTGTGAGGAGCTAGGCTCCCCTGCAAATTCAGCCATTAACTGCGTACCTCTGGAGAACTTTGGAGGTCGCCACCCAGACCCCAACTTGATCTATGCCTCTGAGCTTGTCGAGACGATGAAGAGCGGACAGTATGACTTCGGCGCTGTTTTTGATGGTGACGGTGTAGGTGTTGAGACATTGAGATCAGTGTTGCTGTACGACCTTTGACCCAAGCAGAAGTGCTCATGTGACAGTCAGCATAACATTTTCTTGACCCTGGCCTCACTCTCTCTCTCTCTCTTTCTAGGACCGTAATATGATCCTCGGGAAGCACGGCTTCTTTGTAAACCCCTCCGACTCAGTTGCTGTCCTTGCTGCAAACATCTTCTGCATTCCTTACTTCCAGCACACAGGAGTAAGAGGCTTTGCTAGGAGTATGCCCACCAGTGCAGCTCTGGACATGTGAATATTACTCCTAAATGTTTCACACTATTAAAGATGTACACTTGACAGGACCAGCTGCATTTCCACTCACTCTTCTGTTTTATTCAGGGTGGCCAGAGCCACCAAGATCCAGCTATATGAGACCCCAACCGGATGGAGGTTTTTTGGGAGCTTAATGGACGCAGGTCGTCTCTCATTGTGTGGGGAGGAAAGTTTTGGCACAGGTAATGAATGTACGACGCATAAAATAGTGTTACCATACATCCTCTTTTTCATCGGAAATACATTGGGATTGCTACAATGTCCAGGTTTTGGCTTCCGTCCTGTTTTCCTATTGTTCTCAAACTTGCTGAAGGTAATGACTGAAAAGTAGTTTGACAAATATGTGCAGGCATTGTACATAAACTACCAGTTGTGGTGTGCGAGAAGGTGGGATCTACAGAGAACAATCAAACCAATGCAAATATGTGTATATATAATGTATGAGGATTGCAGAGAGCATGTCAGTAGGAAAACAAAGCCAAAACCCAGAGGTTTTAGGCAATTTAGAACTCCTGGCCAGGACTTGTCCAGGAAAAAGAGGATGTATAATCACTCTACATATAAAGACAAAAATAAATTCATTTAAAAATATATATATATATAAGTCATATGTAGGCCTGTTACATTCTTATTAGGCCTATTATTATTATTATGAAGTTACTTTTATTATTAAATTAAAATTACAATTAATTTGCCCCGCAATAATTACGAAATAACTGGCGTGTTGCGAGGATAACAAAAGATTAGTCTATATATTTACTCCTCAATTAAAATGTTTTTTTAAAAAAAGGTATTTTAAAACAGGTCTATACAATTAAATATACGCCTATGTTTAAAATATTAACACTTCAGTCATCAATAAAAATCAATGAAATAAAAAGCTTTTATTTCAAGCACCGACTTTCAAAAACAACCTGTTTAACACGAAATATGTTTCTTCTCATTTTTTTCACTATGTAATATTAGAAATAGTTAACTATATACCGTTCTCAGCATATGTTGAAGTAGATTCGTCTCGTCGTCTCTGACAGAATATGCGGCGTCAGATGCCGAAAGCTCCGTCATTACTCCGTCATTCCGTTTTTACTTTCACTTTCTGCATAGTGAATTGACTGACATTAAGACGTTCACCGGTGTTCTGCCTCTGTTAGAGGTTGTGTATAATTTATGATGGGCATTTGCATTTATCAATATTATATTTCTGTGATTGTTTAATGTTCTGTATGAGTTTCATATTGCCTGCCGCTATTGTGAAAGTTCTTATGTGAGGACTCTTATTTTGACGCGTTTCCGCGAGCGACGCACATTAGGTAATAGAAGCAACGGACTCATGACGCAGCAAGCGCTCGACATGTTTGTGTCGCATTTAAATTAATCCTTCTGCTAAACCCTGTCATAAGCATTGGCTGTAAGTTCATTTGAATCATTAATCTGTCTAATTTATATTGCAAGAGAGTATGTTCAGTTTAAATGTGATATAATCAAAGATGTTTGTTATTGCCGATTGGCGCTAGTGCACTGCATTGAGAATGCTTCTAACTTGCTTCTGAGTTAGCGATGTATCTGTATACATTTTACTAGTTAAACTGATAATAAGTTTGTTACAATTTGATAGTTAATTTTCTACATTTCTTTCATTTCACTTACAGTTTTACTCGGTTCAATGGCCGCTGAGTTTGACTATGTAAATCATACGTTGGACTATTAAAGGAGCAAGGCGCTCATATCCTGGCTCAGTGAACAGAGTTTGGCTTGCTGTTTATTTATATTACACGCTTTGGGAAAGCAAAACATATAAAGAGAACAGTACAGTAAAAAGCCATGGATCAGCAGGTGCAAGAGAAAAGTTCAGAAGAGAACACGCAAACTGAAGGGAAAAGAGGGAAAGAAAAGGCATCTTCAGAGGTTAATTCTAAACGCTCATTATCTTCCTCCAAGTCTTCAGTTGCTAGTGCTGCTGCAAAAGCTAGAGCCTCAGCAGAAGCTGCACGTGCCAAGATGGCATTCGCAAAAAGACAGCTTGAAATGAAAAAGGAGAAAGCAAGGCTGGAACAGGAAAGGGCTACGGTAGAAGCAAATCTGGAAGCGTTGGAATTAGAAAAGGAAGCTGCAGCCGCTCTGGCAGAAGCGGAGGTGTTAGAGACAGCGGCAGCAATGGAACGCGACGACAATCGCAGTGAAATAAGCACACTTTCATCACATGTGATTTCAATGAGAACGGAGGAATATGTAAAACATCAGACTCAGGTGAGCTCTGACTTTTCCACACTACCTCTGAATATCTCTTCATCAGCCTTTGCAAAGGAATCAACTCCACATTTGATCGATAAGTCTCAAAGCATGAGCGCTGCATATGATGGCGACACAGATATAGTTCAGGAGCGGAGCAGAATATGTGATAGTGAACGTTTGCAGAGTACAAGATTTCCAGATTCCCTGTACAATCTGCCTCGTTCCATCCCGAATACTGCATTTAAAGCATCTCCACGTCAAGATCCTGCTACACAAAGGTATGCAGTCCATTCAGATACACAGCATTTCTCTCAAAGCCAAGCCACACTTATGTTAGACTTTGCTAAATACTTAGCAAAGAGAGAGCTAGTCACCACAGGGCTTACCAAGTCTGACGATAATCCAGAAAACTTTAGAGCCTGGGAGTTTTCATTTGTTAACGCTATGCAAGACTTACAGCTCTCAGCTAACGAAGAGTTAGATTTGTTAGTTAAATGGCTGGGGAAGGAATCTTCAGATCATGTGAGGAGGATTCGAGCGGTGTATGTTACTAAACCGCAAGCTGCTCTCCAGTTGTCTTGGACGAGACTTCAAGAATGCTATGCCACCCCGGAAGTGATTGAGAGTGCCTTATTTAAGCGCTTGGATAACTTTCCACGTCTATCTCCGAAGGATAATGTGAAACTCAGGGAGCTTGCAGACCTGCTCATGGAGATACTTGCAGCAAAAGGAGATGCATACTTGCCTGGATTAGCTTACCTTGATACCCCTCGCGGTATAAATCCTATAGTGGAGAAGTTACCAGCAAATCTGCAGGAGAAATGGCTGTTCACCGGCTCACGTTTCAAGGAAGAGAACAAGGTCAGTTTTCCCCCATTCTCGTTCTTCACACATTTTGTTTGCAGTGAAGCTAAAGCAAGGAATGATCCTAGTTTCAAGCTTTCAAACAGTAGCCATGCAGTCATCCGTAATGAAAGACCCCTCTATAAACATGGTGCTAGTAGAGTTCCTGTGTCGGTGCATAAGACAGATGTATCTAGAAATGATGAGTTCGATTCAGCAAATTTGAAAGAGACTGTCAAGAGAGATTTGACGAAGCACTGTCCTATTCACAACAAAGCGCATCCCCTGTTGAAATGTGGAGCCTTCAGGAAAAAGTCATTAATAGAACGCAAGAACCTACTGAAAGAACATAAGAGGTGTTTCAAGTGTTGCTCTCCGAATCATATAGCTGAACAACACCATATGGTTCACAGGACCCAGCTTCCTCTACCAACTGCCCCAAGAGCAACAGTGTGAGCACTTTGAACTGGTTAATCCTGAGACGGATGCAGAAGTCAGACCTTGTGTAACCAGCTTCGCTACTCGAGTTGAAATAATCCTCTTCTCTGAACTATGTAAATCATACGTTGGACTATTAAAGGAGCAAGGAGCTCATATCCTGGCTCAGTGAACAGAGTTTGGCTTGCTGTTTATTTATATTACACGCTTTGGGAAAGCAAAACATATAAAGAGAACAGAACAATGACCTATCGGCTCATTTCAATCACACAGCATTCTGCAGAAATTACAGTGATGGAAATGACATTTAAAAAAGCCTAACTTCTTTGTCTTGCTATGCACTCTTATGAGTAAAGATTCTTTATTGGCATCTGCGGCTCCATGAAGAACTTTTAACATCCATGGAACTTTTCCATTCCACAAAATGTTCTTTATAGAAGAAAATGCTTCTTCAGATTATTACAGTTTTCTTCTCACTTGGACAAAAATGGTTATTTTAAGAACTGTTCACTGAGAGGTTCTTTATTGACAAAAAATGGTTCTTCAGTGGCATCGCTGGGAAGAACCCCTTTTGGAATCTTAATTTTTTTAGACTGTATAAGGCTAATTTAAATAGGTAGCATAAGTATCATTTTCACATTACAGCTTGATTAAAAATGACACACTAAAATGATTCTGCTCAAATGATATTTACCTGGGTTTGTTTTCTTTCTTTCTTTTCTTATAATCTAATTCTCATCACTAACACCATTGCCTCCATGGTAAAATAAATAAATGAATAAAAATTAACTAAACAAAAAAATGATTAGAGGTTTTGTTGGAAATAACCGAGGGACAGTTTAAATTTGTGTTAAAAATATAAAATTAAACAAAAATCAGTAATAAACATTTAAATGATGACTAATTTCTTATGGATACTTTAAAAATGTTATGTTTCATATACGCAGTGCTGGGTAGTAACTGATTACATGTAATCTGAATTACATAATCACCTTCAAAAAATGAAGTACTTGTAATGAGATTATACTGTATTACATTTTAAAATACTCGTAATCGGACAACAGTTACTTTTTTATTGATTACATGATTACATATTATTAAACATTTTCAATAAATAATTTAATTTTAAAACATTATACATCAATATCATATTTATATGATGGAATTTGGTATTTTAAGACTGTAAGTCTCGGTCTAAGACGAGGATAAATCACTAAATTCTACACTGCATTTTGAGCATACAATACAGTTTTAATGTGACTTTCATTCAACAAAATATATCTTATTATTTTTCATCCTTGGGACATAAAAGTGACCACAGCTGAAGAAACACCCACAACAGATTGTGCAAGATACACGTTTAAAAAATAAAGGCTTTTTATCGGCATTGATGGTTCCATTAAGAACCTTTAACATCCATGGAACCTTTCTATTGGATAACAGGTTCTTATTAATAGAAAAAGTTCTTTACACTCAGGTTTCAAAAGAGGTTTTTCACAGCAATGCTATAGAAGAACCATTTTTGGATCCCCAAAGAACCTTTCAGTGAACAGTTAAAACTTCAGTTTTTTTTTTATTTGCTCTTCTCTCCGTAGGTTCAGATTATATACGGGAGAAAGATGGGCTGTGGGCAGTGCTAGCATGGCTGTCCATCCTAGCGGTGAGGAGGCAAAGTGTAGAAGACATTATGACAGACCACTGGAGAACCTACGGGAGGAACTACTAGTAACTAGTAACTACTACCTAATCAGGTGCACTATCAGTAAAAGATGCCTTCTACATATGCAGTCTAGTCAGACATTTGTTTGTAGATTGATGGCATATTTTTACGTCACAGATTTGACTATGAGGAAGTGGATTTAGATGCGGCTGTGGAGATGATGTTGGATCTGGAGCTGATGATTTCAGACAGGGCATTCATTGGGCAAGTGTTTACTGTGGGGGAAAAGAAATACCAAGTGGAGGCGGCAGACAATTTTGAGTACGGTGACCCTGTGGATGGAACCATTTCAAGAAATCAGGTAATATAGTGGATTCTCTTTGTTGAGCAGGCATTTGTCACAGGCATACTGTTATTACTCTAATAAATTGTATAAAACGACTACATTAATATTAAGAACATGTAAACATTCCCTGTAGGGTTTGCGGATCATTTTTAAAGGAGGTTCTCGCATCATCTTTCGTCTCAGTGGGACCGATAGTTTCAGAGCCACAGTTGGTCTGTATTTCGACAGTTACGAGAAAGATATAAACAAGCTCTTTCAGGACCCACAGGTAAATTATGACTTATTTCTTATGGATACTTCTAAAATTGTATGTTTCATACGCAGTGCTGGATAGTAACTGATTACATGTAATCTGGATTACAAAATGAAGATTCCAAAAATGTACTTGTAATTAGATTTAAAATACTCGTAATCACACTACAGTTCCTTCTTGTTACTGAATACATGATATTATTGATTACATATTATTCACAATAGCAAATAAATTATTCATAATTTTCTTTTTTTAGTTCTTTTTCGGAACTTTTTCCCAACATTTCAACACTGCATCAACTACTGATGAACACATTACTTTTTATTTGAACTATAAATCAGTGGGGTTATTTAACCATGTTTTACTATGTCTTAAGAAGGCTTTGTCTTTCAAACACATTAAAATGCACAAACTCACGTTCTTATTTACATGTAATGCAGGGATTGCCAAACTCTTTTGTCAACTAACCCTCTTTCACCTAATAAATGTAATTGAAGTATTCCCTGAGATTTTAAGGTAGTACGTTAGTAATTAACACATTTGCATGTTCACTGTTCTCTGACTGGTCACATGTCATGCAAGTAAACAAATAAATATTTCATATTTTTAGTAAGTGTTTTATTTTTATTGTTGTTATTTATATGTTACGTTTTTATGATGTAATTAGCCTAATTATTAGATTAACATTAAACTCAAGAATTCCCTGCAGTTCCTTAACAAAACCCAGTTTGGGAAACCTTAATGTTTAATGCACTTCATGTTGTTAATTACAACGAGTGCAATATATTTTCTTTCTCTTAGCATTTTTATATCAATATGGTCATATACAAGATCATCCTAATTTAATCAATATTATAAACGAGTTAGGTCTAAAGTAATAAATAATTACTCAATAATGAGCCTGATTATATTACTTAAAATGTGTAATGTAGTGGATTAATTTTTGTAATGTAAATTTCAGAATCAGTAACGGACACTGTTCATATCTTACCCACTGATCTATAATAGAGAACATATATATATATAGAGAGAGAGAGAGAGAGAGAGAGAGAGAGAGAGAGATCAGTGGTCTTCCCGCATATAAAACGAGCAAAAATATTTGGAGTAATACGTTTTTAGTTTTGTTTTGTGTCACAGGTGGGGCTGACGGAGCTTTCACAGATACATGAAAGACCCGGGAGAAGAGGCCCTACTGTTATTACATGATTAGATTAAATGTCATATTTACATTTTCTTTTCTTTTCTTTTCTTTTTTTTTTTTATTAAACATTGCTTTCAGCGAAAAGTATAATTGCAGCATTTTCTCGCATTATCAGAAAAATACGTTTAGCTTATCAATATTAATTACGTCACTTGACGCTCCAGGAAGGTTACAGAGCATCGTGCCCATGACTCAATTAATATTCATGAGCCAACCACTGATGGAAGTTGTATTGACCAATTTAGAGTAGACGTCACAGTTACGTCACTTGCAGCTGCGCGCGCATATTGGTTGCAGAAAACACTGGGAACAAGTGGAGATAAATGGGTAAAATCTATGGAATAAAATTAAAAATATATTTTTGTGCCTTTTGATGTCAAGATCCGAATGCAAATAATTTTTATAGAATACTGTCGTCAAAGACGCCATTTGAAGCTAAACGCAGACGTTTAAATGGACATACTATGGATGAAAACTGTTATGATTACTCTACTTTTAAAGCATAAATTCGATTTAAACAATAGGTCTACATAATATTCACATATGCTGTTCATAGGGGACGTATTGTATTAGCCCTACAGTTACAGCATGAAATATTATTTAAACCTTACTATTATAAATATTATTTAAACCTTATTATTAACATTTTTACATAACATTTATTTACTTTATCTCACAATTCTGACTTTTTTTCTCGCAAATGCAAGTTTATATCTCCTAATTCGGACTTTATAACTCGACTTAACTCAAAAATAGTGAGTTTGTCAAATCTGAGGAAAAAAGCCAGAAGAGCCGAGGGGAAAAGAGAGAATGACGAGTTGTTTTTCCTTATTAGAATTGTGAGATATAATCTCGGAATTGCGAGAATAAAGTCAGAATTTTGAAATATAAAATCAAATTTACCTCTTTTTATTCTTTTATTCCGTGGCTCCATAGACTGAAGCTTGAAAACTGTCATTTTCTGCCTCCATATAGGCTCCGCCCACAAAAAAAACGTCATCCCTGTTTCGGATCTGTAAGACTATCCCACTCTCTGGTCATTACGTCACCCGCCGTGACGTCTCGCCCATCTATTGGTCTGATTACACACGAGTTCAGAGCCGGTCACGCTGAAAGGCGTTCCCCTAGCGTTTTCCGACGCAGCTCGAGTTCCTGAAGAGGAACCGTCATTTTCTGCCTCTAGATAGGCTCCGCCCACAACAAACGTCATCCCTGTTTCGGATCTGTAAGACTATCGCACTCTCTAACGTCAATTTCGTTGAATAACAGTGCTTATCGCTGGGTGACAAGCTCTTGTAATGTGCGGAGAACATTTTGAAAATGACATCTAATCAATATAATTTATAATCTTTTTAAACCTAACTATTTTGTACCCTATCCGTGAAATTCTCTAGCCATAAAGGCTATCTCTCCCGGGTTTTCTGCAACCATGATGCGCGCATCCTGAATGTTTACAAACCTATAATTGGTCTATTCCTGAATGCGCTGCCCAACAACCAACCACAGGCACTCATAAACAAACTCTGATAATACCCTGGCTGAAATGAGACACAGCTGTTACTGACAGGTAACTACTGATAACAGATATAAGTTAAGGAATATGGTCTTTTTTTTATAAAACAGTAAAATGTGCTATTCCAGCACTGATTGAGTGCAAATGATTAATTCATTACGGGTTTTGACGTAAAATCCTTAAAAGGACTTGGGTAAACTTGCTTAAAGGGGTCCTATTATGCTTTTTCACTTTTTGAATTTTAGTCAGTGTGTGTATGTTTGGGCATAAAAAAGATCTTCAAACTTACAAATCTCAAAGTCCACTCCAAAGGGAGATATTTTGTTTTTTAAAAATCCCTTTTCAAGAACTACAACGAACGGCTCGTTTGGACTACAGCGTTTGTTTTCCTTTAATCTTGCATGTAATGTCTGATAAAGCAGTGTTTTTTTGAGCGGAGCACTGCTTTGTGTACAGCCGTTACCAGGGAAACCTTGATCTCTACCACTCCAACAGCGCCTCCTGCTGGCAGAGAATGAGTTTGCATATATGTGCCGCCTGGGAAACACTGGACTATGGTATAAATAAATTCAACTGTATAACAATTCATGTTATAATGTTAGAATTAAATAACAATAAAAAATAATACATATGCACTTATCTGTACATAGTAAATGCAGTTATTTTTAAGCGGTTGTTGACATCCTATCTAAAACGTGATTTAGCCAAAAAAAAAACATTAACGTTACCACTCGTAATATGTCTTGCAATATCCGTTCGTGCAAATGTTTGGTGCGATCCTCTTGTTCAATATTCTCTGGTTCTGAATCCGGCTCAAATTGATATGGCAATATTGACGCCATCCTTAACTAAACTGGAGCAGACGGAACTTGCTGCTTTGGCAAGGGGCGTGGCAGTACTGAAACACCTGTCTAAGCTGTTCGCCAATCACAACGCACTGAGACAGGTTAGTACATGCTTTTGCTTTATTACCAGCTTTGCTGTGTTTGCCCTGCAAGAAAAATAGTGAGGAATGAATTTGAGCTCAGACATCATTATGAGCAAATAATCCCTTCCACATTATAATGAAGTATGAGGAATTGTGAAATGTTAAATAAATGTTACAAGAGTTGATGGATTTGTATTACTGATATATATATATATATATATATATATATATATATATAATTTTTAAAAAATGTAATAAGACAAGCCTCTTCCATGATCAGCAAAATTCTCACATTTCAACAGGTTACAGGCCACATGCACATATATAGTATAGCGGCCTCTATATTCACTCTATTATTCAGTATTCACAATCATTTTAAATCATTCTCTTGCCTACTGCTCAAGAAATCAGTAACCATGGAAGCTTATAACATGCTGTCCTACTCTCCATCAACACAAGTCGTTAAGGACAGCCAGAAGCTGGATGGTAAGAATAACTCACCAACTCCACCTTTCACATCATTACAACTATATAAAATTTACAAAAAATCATATTAACATGACAATACTTCCAAACAATATTTTTTCACTCGTAAAAACATGCTTTTTCAGGTGTGGGGCTGAAGTCAAGGCAGAGACAAGACCACTAATCTTCACTCTTTTACTATTTTACTGTCTAGTTTTGTAATAGGCATCATAAAAATATAGGCTTTATAAACAAACCAGCTCCTCTTCTTTACAAGACAAGTGTTTAGAATTGCCTTTAAAAAGTATCTCAGCATATGGATGAAAATTGCCACCACTAATACAGAACTTCTGATAGGAAGCGAATGTAAGTGATCTGATCTTTTAGACTGTACTTTTAGTGATAGTGTGGAATACATCAACAAAGAGTATCAGCAAATCTAATGTTAGAGCTTTATTTGCCATCTTTGCTACAGGCAAATCATTTACTTTAAAAACATTCTGCATGACACGAGTTGATCTCTTCAAGATGTATGTTCTCAAATATAATCTGATGTGGAGATGATCTGCCAAAATTCACTGATATTCCTCATTTTAGCTTCAGATGAATTCATCAACTATACAGAGAGATGTGCAGTCCAGTCAAATGTCAATAAGACAGATCATCTTATTCAAGCACAGTGCAACATGTGAGTTGTTGTTACACATTTCCACTCATTACATACAAGCTCAGTAATTACTCAAAAAGTAATTTAAAAATGTAGTTTAAATTAAATATTGTTTACATTCCTGACATAAAGGGGCACTTGTAATATCCTGTATTATTCTATACCCATTTGTACGGACTCAAGCATGAGAGCATGTTCTAGTACACCCCCCCAAAACAAATTCAAGACATTGTAAAAGAGCATAATAGGACCACTTTAAATTAGACCTTGCCTTGATATTGTTATATAAATTTGATACTGTATGAATTTATGTATGTGTAAATGATATTCTGCAGTTGTCTGTCTGTCTCTTTTGTTTTATGCAGTAGATTCAGTAAATTCTGAATAAATATTTTCTCGGTTATTCAGAGAAGAGAGAGAGTTATATATTCCTAATACAGGCATTGGGACAACAGCTGGAATATTTCATGTTTTTTAAATAACCTAAACTGCAAAATGTACCTTTAAATGGAAATAACATTCAAATAATGTAACCTAAAATCTTCCTATAAGTCTTTAAACCTGTGTAGATAAAAGTAAATAAAGAAACTCTGGTTATTGCAGTACTAGCAAAAATCTGAACTTCTATATAAGTACATTTTAAATAATTATATGTATTTCTTATATAATTTTATTATTGCAGCACGAGTTGATCTCTTCAAGATGTATGTTCTCAAATATAATCTGATGTGGAGATGATCTGCCAAAATTCACTGATATTCCTCATTTTAGCTTCAGATGAATTCATCAACTATACAGAGAGATGTGCAGTCCAGTCAAATGTCAATAAGACAGATCATCTTATTCAAGCACAGTGCAACATGTGAGTTGTTGTTACACATTTCCACTCATTACATACAAGCTCAGTAATTACTCAAAAAGTAATTTAAAAATGTAGTTTAAATTAAATATTGTTTACATTCCTGACATAAAGGGGCACTTGTAATATCCTGTATTATTCTATACCCATTTGTACGGACTCTTGTAAACTTGCTTAGATAGTCATTGGTAGTCATAATTATCAAAAAAGTTGAAAAAGAAATAATTTTGACTTTTTATTTCATAATTGACATTCATTAAATCATTTTGATTTAAATAAAAATTTGAAATTGACAAGAAGTCTAAATTATTAGATAAAAAGTTATAATTATAAAAAAAATCAAATTTGGTCACAATTATGGCCGTTGATTTCATTACTGTTATTTATAATAATGACTTTGTATCTCATAAGTTTTTGTTTTATAATGATGACTTTTGTCATAATTATGATTTGCCAAAGCATGATTCTTATACAGTATGGCAAAAATGGGCTTCCATGCAAGGACTATTTTTGCTCATTTTGTTATTAAAAAGTAGAGTAGAAAGTATTAGTGTAGTATCTCTAAAAGAATTGCACTCCATAGACTTTTAAACTTTTCATTTTTTCACTTCCTATAATCAATCTATGATTTTATTCAGTGGATATAATTTGCTTTACCTTTACATATATACTATTTGATATTGGAACACGTTTATAAACACCAGAACAGTAAAAGACTCTAAACATTGTTATTCTAAGTTTTATGGTCATTATGTGCAGCCCTGTTCAGAAGCTTCCAAAGAAAAAAAACAAAGCGGAACCCACCCGGATGGAACGCATGAGAAAACTCTACATGCAGTGCAAATCTCCAGGTGATTCCTCCTGTAGATAAGTCTGTGTTCTCTTTCAGGGTGTTTTCACACTTGAGTCCACTTTAAAAGAACCAAACTCACACCCAGATCCCACCTCACCTTCTGCTATGTGTCCCACTAGAACTGCTGACCCCCCAGATTCCTGGTCCTGCTCTGTGTCCAGATGAGCAGGAACACTGGGAGCGAGAAATGGACGAACTGGTGGAATGGACTCACTCCCTTTCTTTGACCTACTGTATGACTTCTAGGACAAATTAAGATATCACATGATCATATAAACACAAGTCAAAACTGTTTTTTTACGATATAGTATATTAAAGAAAAATGTTACAATACAATCAACTGAATATAACACCCAGTAAGACTATTTAAAAAATAATAAAATGAAATGACAATCATGACAATATTTATCCACCATGCATTTTAATAGATCTCTCTTTATCTGTCTATCTATCTATCTATCTATGTATGTCTGTAATAAGGTGCTTTTCCACCATCAGGCTGAACTGTCCTCATCGCTTAACCATTCCATTGGACATGGTTTCTTTTTCCACTGTGGGGCTGATAACAGAGCTCGTAATACAAATGTGTCAGTCGTTGCCTTGGTAATGCAAGTGTTTACATACGGTATATATATGAGATGTAATTAGCGTCTGCATTATGAAGGATGACCAGATATTTCTGTTTGCTTCACTCAAATAGCACGCTTGGCCAGCTATATAGAGAAACTAGTAGCTAGACAACAAACAACTGACCAATCCTGAGTGGCGACATCACTACACGCATTCTGTCTGCACGGTTTTGGGCCGAGAATGGTTCTTAATCACGCCGTGCCGAACAGAGCTGAAGTGGAAACATACCGTATTGGCCCGAATATAAGACGACCACATTTTTTCAGATGTATTTCCAAGAAAAAAACATCGTCTAATATTCGGGACAATACGGTAATTGGTTTCTTACAGTTCTTAGAACCGTTCAGCCCAACAGTGGAAAAGCAGCTATAGATTGTCCAGTAAAATACAACAAATATTAGGGGTGTAACGGTACACAGAAGTCACGGTTCGGTACGTACCTCGGATTCTGAGTCACGGTTCGATCAACAGGAAATTCATTTTTTCATTTATTTTGAACAGACAGTAGTGCTACACACACATGTAGCATGAGCAGTTGTTTTTGATTTGAATTAGATTGTATCATTTCAAGCAAAAACAGAATGGTCTGATTTTAGATTTGTGAAATTATGCTACACAAGACACCTGCACAAAACAACTGCAGATGGACTGAATGAAAATGCTAATTTATTCTCTGACAGCAGGTGGCACCTATGGAACAGCAGCAATATAGAGTTTCCTCGGTTACCTGCGCTTATAAACACTACTTTAATATGTATTATATGGAGGTAAGAGGAAAAGAAGATGCCATTGAAACATTTCTGAAGTCGGTTATATACATTCATATAAACCCCCACATATTTGTCTTCCTGTATTTTGAGCATAGTGTACAGTGAGCTTGATCTGCCTGGTAAAAAAAACGGTTCCGATTATAGCCGGTCAACCGAAACTTTCCCACACTGCGGATTGCAAAAAAAAAAAGCAGGAAGTTCTTCGAGCTCAGAGGAAGACTGCGAGGGTTTAGGGTGGGATTTGGGACAGGGCCTATGACTGACTGTATTTGTCGTCCGAAAGCATTACCGTTCGGGACGAATACATGTACCGTTACACTCCTAACAAATATGTCTCCTGTGATATTAAGGCACGTCTGCATTTTTTCTTTCATTAAAACAATTCATGTATTTTTATACATTATGGGCCAGATTTACTAATCAAGGCAAATTAGCATGAAATCGCAATCCCATAAAAGCGCCAATAGGAATGTAAAGTTCTGTGCGTGATCTACTGACAATGAGAAAATTAAAGAACACAGACACAACCAGATAATTTCCATAATGACCAATGCAATCTACCAAGAGCAGAGCAAATTAGCAACTATCGTGTCATGTCAAGCGCAAAATGGGTTAAGACATGCTTTTTTGGGCTTTAGATAATGCCACAAATACCACTGTAAACTGACTAGCTCAAACCTTAGTAAATCACATTGCGTGATTCATTTAAATACTCTTCTACCATAAATTTTGCATTTAAAAGGGAAACTCCTACAAATGCATATGCAATAAGGTCAGCCGCAAAAAAGGCTTGTTTTAGATGCATCAGCGCTGCGCAGACCGATTGGCGTGTGACATCAACGTACGGTGAGAGTGATTTAAAAGCTTAAGAGTCGTCTGCTCGCTAATCACACTCGCGGTCGTTCTGTGCAATGCCGATGCATCTCGAACAAGCCTAATGACTGTGCCCATGCCTTTTCATGACAGTAGTTTTTTAATGCCTGAAGAGGGTTTGCACTGGTGTAAGCTGTTAGTAACTCTGGCCGTAAATTTGATGTGGCTTCAGCTTTTTAAAATGAACCTTTTTAATACTTGATACTTGTTGAGTGCTAAGCGGTGTGTTAAGTGTTTTTGGAGGTAGATGATTAACTGGCAAAGATTTGAAGCGCAAGTAATGTGCATAATTTTTCTTAGTATAATGAGAACGATACATACAAATACAAAATGCATCTGAATTCTGTAGGTGGATCTGATCTGATGAATGGAAGTTAGATGTTTTCTCTAGTGAGGAAAAACTCAAACTCTTTGATTAGGCTATTGAAGTCCACTCTGTTTTCTGGGGCGTGACTCCAGCACCTGCGTATCTGAGTGTACACCTGCAGCCACAGACACACATCTTTTGAAGAAACTGCCCATAATATAATATGATATAATAATGATATCAGGGAGGCTGTTTCTCAGAGGTCAAATATCTCACCATTTCAGGGCATGAATCTGGACGCGGCATCCTCCAGCCTTTCTCAAGAGCATCTACCAGCCTGGTCATGGTCATCTGCCCATGAGACCGGCCAATCGACTTCAGGAATACCTACCAGAGAAACATATAAGAACAGGAATTAGCAAATGAGTCACTGTGATTGTAATACCTGATGTATTCAAATAAGTTAGTATGAGCTTTGTAATGCTCACCTGTGGAGGGCTGTTCTCACGGTCACAGTAGGACATGATTTCATAAAGAGTGACTCCAAATGACCAAACATCAGATGCCTTATAGAACTTCCGATTAATCAGACATTCTGGAGCATACCTACACAGACAGAAGACATGACCCATGTTTAGCAGGACCTTCAGTGGACGTCTATGCAAATATACAGTGCAACTATGGACATACAAACATAAAAACACATGCTGAACACATGCTTTTTTTAAAACAATTAGTGAAAGGTAGTGTCTGCAGAATAACAACAACAATAAAAACTAAAATAAAGATAAATGTAACAATTGAAAAGTTTGTGGTCAGTAAGAATTTAAAATAACAGTTTTCTATTTCCCACTATTTAAAAATGTAATTTATTCCCGTGATGCAAATCTGATTTTTCAGTCTCCAGTCTTCAATGTCACATGATCCTTCAGAAATCATTCTAACATGCTGATTTGATGCCCAAGAAGCATTTATTACCAATTTTGAAAACACTGCTTAATATTTCTGTGGAAAACCATGATACATTTTTTAAGGATTTTCTGATGAATAGAAAGATTAAATGAACTGCATTTATTTTATCATTTATTATTTATTTTAACTGCATTTATAGAAATCTTTTGTAAAATTATAAATGTCTTTAGTGTCACTTATAATCAATTTAATACATCCTCGCTGAATAAAAATATTACCTTCAAAATGTATCTTACTGACCCCAAAGTGTAGAAATGTTATATATATATATAAGCTTTATAAATATGATTTAAAAAAGTACTATATTTGTCATGGTTTTGGTTTGTTAGTTCTGGTTTAGTTTATTTTTATTCTGTTTCTCTGTTCTGTTCAGGTTTGAGGTTCTTTGTTAATCTCCTAGTCTGTTAATTAGTTCAGTTCTCCTCCGTTCTCTCCCTGTTTGTTTCTATGGCTACTGACTTGATTAGGTTCCTCAGTTCAGGTGTGTTTTAGTTAGGTTCTCCCTTTGTTTGTCCTGTCCATTTAAGCCCTGTGGTTCTTTCAGTTTATTGTCAGTTGTACGTTGTGTTAAGTTGGTTGTTTTGTCCCTATTCTAGAGTTTTATGTTAGGTTCTGAATAACGACTGCTGCACATGGATCCGGTTTCCTTTCTGCTGCAACCAACGCCGACAATATTCATAAAACATAATTTGTTGCATTTTCAAGGTCATCATGGTAGGCGTTTGAATTAAAAGGGAGAAGGTAATAGCTTTTCAGATGTACAAATCATTTGTCTTTTACAGAAATATTCAACACATCTAAAAGCAACACACTCAAACAGTGATTTAAATAGTGATTAAAATAATCAAAGATATATAAGCAGGAATGAGTGCTGCTTTACCAGTACACAGGACTGTCCTGTTCTTCAGTCACTTTGTAATATTCCTTATCATCTTTGATGCTCTTAGTCAGACCAAAGTCCCCGATCTTCACAAGTGATTCATTCTCCACTAAGATGTTTCTTGCTGCCAGATCCCTGTGGATGTAGTTCTGAGATCCCAGGTACTCCATACCCTGACAAACACAATATTTATATTAAAAGATGGCAGTTATTCATAGTGATCGCTACTGTTGTGCAGCCTAAAAACTATTTGGACACTTAAGTCACAAATCAAAATATCTGTATGTAATTGCATTGAATACAAAATATCAAAAAGTGGCATGTGAAAGCTTTAGTGTGAAAACATAGCTCATGGGAAAAGCTATCTATATCTATAGCCAACTGTTGTATTGGCTATATTACCTGACATATCTGAAGAGCATAAAGCAGCAGTCTCTTCTGATCGATGTTGGATTTGTTACGGGGCAGGTATTCTTTCAGACTGCCAGCAGGCAAATACTCCATAATGAGTTTGATGTTCGCTCCTCCTAAGTGACACACATTCACCCCAAGCAATAATACAGTAAGTATATATAAATGGGGTATATATTTGTTTGTAACTAAGGTATATAGTCATAGAGATTAGAAACCAATGTGAATACTGTGTGTAAACAGGGCTTTGTGTGTGTGTAGGTGTGCTCATGACTTGCCTTCATCATTACAGATGCCTTTGTATTTGACAATGTTTTCATGGTAAAGGTTTCTGATGGTGCTGATCTCTCTCCTCAGGTTGCTGCTCTCATTTTCTGTTTTCAGAGATTTGACGGCCACCAGCTCACCTGTCTGATCTCCCTTAGGATCGTACAGACACAGTTCCACCATCCCAAAGTTACCCTGGACAAGATTGATAAAGAACAATACGAACAGGTAATGAATCAAGGACAAGGGATTATGGCATTTAGGTGGGATGAGAGGGAATGTGGGGATCTCAGTGTGAATGAATCGAGAGTGAGATTGGTTTAACTTGGTCCAGATTTCCAGAATCACTAATTCTAATGGAATTTTTCCTATATTCCTATTGAAATTTCTATAAAATCTATAATATACAATTTATTTAAATAAGTTATACTGGGGTTACTGGTAATCAGTAGTGTTGTTATCGTTAAATAAAACTAAAATAAAAATCAATTAAAAATAATTTTCGTTAATTTAAATAAATCTGAAATAAACCAAAAATGTAATATTAGATAAAAAAAAACTTAAAAAACAAAAATGAAATGATGCCTTAGCAAATAAATGAAATAAAATAACTTAAAGTACTAAAATTACTTAATTTAAACCAAAATAAATATGAAAATGTATTAGATTAAAGATAAATGGAAATATCTATAAGAAAAAAAAAACTAATACAAATGGACATTAAAGAAAATACTAAAACTAAAATAAAAACTTAAAATAGCTTAAAATAAAAACTAAATAAAAGCTCATTCTAAATATGAATACATACTATATTATTATATAAATAATACTAGAACAACACTGATTGGGAACTAAAATCTAGGTTCTATGAATTATATAAAAACATTTCCAAATACAGTATCCAGTAGGAATCATGAACATGCTCCTTTATTTGACTTGAAGGAAAAAGTAACAGTATTTGACATAAACCTCGAAAAGTCCAGTACCTCTCCAAGTTTTCGTATTTTCTTGAGAAACCTGCTCTTGAAATCTGTAGGATCAGTCTCCTGTGGAGGAATTGACTCTGTAAGGTGAAGGTCTGTAGATAAAAAATACAGTAAATTCAGTAATGTATACAAATACTACCATGAAGTATACTTCAAATTGTATTTTATAATTTAAATAATAATTTTTTTTCAATTAGAGTAATAAGAATGAGATTTTTAAATGAGGGTTGTAAATGTGCTTAACTGTCATGATATTTTTAAAATCAAAATATTTTCCCCTTCGAATGGGAACTCGCACTGCGTCCTCTAGTGGACACTATGGGGAATGCCTCAGCGTGACCAGTGTCTGAAGCCGTGATTCAAACACGACAAAGAAGTTGGCCGACGACAGTCTGTGACATCACTACCAGCGCGACCACTGGTATAAAAGGGCGCCTGTAGTACCGGTCATCAGCGTTTTTTGTCTTCAGGAGCCGTTTGTCTGTAAGCGTGTCAAGGTAATAATGGATCCCCCTAGCAAGCATTTCAGGAAATGTGCATTTTCTGTCTCGGTGAGGATCATGCCTCTGACCTCGAGGGGTCACATTGTGCAGATTGCAAAGCTTTTTCATCATTCACATCAGTCCCTTTTCTCGAGGGAATTAGGACAGGAGTCTGCGCCCTGCAGTTCGGGAATTGCTGCTGCCGAGGCTCAGCAGAGACTCAGATCATGGGGATTGCAAGTGGAGCTGGCAAAGGAATTTAATAAAAGTATGTTCTTTTCTAATTCCCCTGCAACCTCGAGCAAGCTGCTGGATGTAGATGTACTGTCTCTCACGTCATCTGATCCAGCATACAGTACTTTTTTGGCTTCCAGCCAGAAAGAGCGGGAGGGAACTGTGGAGGACGAGGAAGTAATGGAGTCCTACTTCCCCACGTATGATGAACTTATGGAGGTTATGGTTCGCACTACGGCAAGATTAGACCTTCCATGGAAGCGGGGGGGGTGCGAGTATGGGTATGTGTTGATGCCTCCCGTTGAAGAGACGCTCATGGGCTATCTTTCAGCGGGAGAAACATTGACTATGAAAAGACTACCACTTTGCTGTCTAAACCTCTGCGTACCACATCATATTTAAACGGCAGGTTGTGACACACATTCACATTGGCCTTGAAAACTGAACTAATGATGTTTTGACAGGCATGCATATGTTTGTATGCACCCTGTCGTTCTGATGGTTCGGTAAAGCTCCACAATGTGTATGTGTGTGTTGAGGTGTAATCCATTTTAAGATATGGTTTTGTTATTGTTTTGTAAGATAAGGTTTGCATAAAATTGAAACCAGGCCTTAAGCTCTGCCCTTGGGACGGGCACTGGCGCCCCGGTAAGGAAGGGAGGAAGGATTGAACACCAGGACTTTCCTTGCATAGGGTTGGAGGTTGGGTTTCTGGCTGTGAGGGGATAGCATCACTAATGGCGCTTTTCCACTGCATGGTACAGCTCGGCTCGGTTTGCGTTTCCACTGCAGTTTAGTACCGCTTTAGAGTGGGCGGGATTATAGATATGTCGTTATAGTTGTGCCACCTCTACTGCCGTGCTGAGCGACCTACTGAAAAACTTTTTCATTCCACGTCATCGCTTCAAGCTCTCGCTGGATCCGCGCCTCGGCTATCAACGAGAGTAACGTCTGTACTTCCTCAACAGACCACGAAACAGCCATTATTTTGTTGTTTAAAAAAAGGTGCGCTCCTTCGAAACTGTTGTGTTCGTTCAAAAAAAGTTACGTTAGACCCTCACTGGCTGTGCTGATTTAATCTAGCGGGTCTAGTGTCACGTGTCGCAAGTTCAATGACGCATGTAGTGACAATTCTCTCCGGCCAATCAGTGATCAGCAGGGTTTACACGTCACATTTTGGTAACAGTACGGCTCGCTTAGAACCTCAGCCGAGGTTAGGGTTGGGAACCCAGTGCGACGCGTGACCAAGCGCTGTGAGCAGCCTTGCGCCGGCGTTCCCCATAAAGGACGTCACAAACCAAATAACAGAAACGCCGCCCTGTCTCTTTAATTACTGAGCACATAATTTCCCATGGTTCTGGTGCGACACGTGACCAAGCGCTGTGAGCAGCCTTGCGCCGGCGTTTCCCGTAAAGGATGTCACAAACCAAATAACAGAAACGCCACTCTGCCTCTTTAATTACTGAGCACATAATTCCCCATGACGCGCACTCTACAGACGTGCCGCGTCACGTCTTTAACTGCCGAACACATCGTTTTCCACGACTGTACGCGCACTCGCATCTTTGATAACGGTGCACATGGTTTTGTCTGACTGTACATGTACCGGCAACGCGCAGCTCCTGCCGCCACTAAATTACATTATATTTGTTCCATATTGTTATTAATATACATACTGACTTCAACTTGGACCACTAAATAAATAGACTGCTATTGTTATG